ATGAAGTGTATATTATAAAGCAAGGCCATGTGAAACTATTGCTTTGAAGTTATAGTGAGCTTATGAAATGAAACACTGCTTTGAACTTACTATAGACATCCTTCTGTAACTCCCGTTTTGTGTAACATTTTATCTATGAGATAATTTTCTAAAGAACTTTTGTCTAAGAAGGTATGAACAGGCTAGAGAAAAGAATAAAGTGGTGGCTTGTGGGGTTCTGCCCTATTCATCCAAATATATATGTGTGGCATTGGAGGCTCAGCATTGTCCACCGAATGTATATATGTCTGCTTGTCTATATGTGTATGTATGTAAGTATGCATGAACACTTATGGAGTTGATGAGAGAGGTGGTAGGCTCACCTGGAATGTGTCTGTGAGTGCATGAGTGCATGCCATCTCTCCAGCCCAACCAGTGCCTTTTTAAGCACAATTAGTCAGAGAGTTCCAGAGTAAGAAACCAGCACTTATCAGCACAGAACAGTGAAAAAGAGTTAAGTTTCTAGAGGCCATGAGCTTCTGGATCCCAGAACAGTAAGAGAGTGTTACAAGGCCATAGATCATCAGACTTTGGCCTTTATCCAACTCTGTGTTCCACCTCAGTACTTATGAAGCTGGGAAAATTTCCAGCATGGCTCCATTTTGAGTTGTTATGAATAGTGATAGTGTAGCAATAAACACTGGAGTATCTCTGTGGTGTGTTGTCTTAGAGTCCTGTGGGTGTAAGTCCATGAGTGGAACAGCTGTGCAATACGGAAGTTCTAGTTTTAATGGTTTTTTTTTTTGTTGTTGTTGTTGAAGCTTTCCTTGATTTCCATAGTGTCTGCCCAGTTTACATTCTTATAAGTAGTATAGAAATGTTCCCTCTCTTCTACATCTTAACTAGTATTTTTTTTTTATGATAGTCATTCTGACTAGAATGTGATGGAATTGAAACTCAGTTTTAATTTGCCTTTTCCTAAAGAATGCTTATCTTCACTTTGCCCACAACACAATAGGAAGGTGATGATTAAAAAAAATTCTCAAAAACCTTTAGAGTCAGTGCTATTTGAAATCAGATGTGATATTCCAGCTCACAGCTCCAGCACAAATCTTCTGCTTTACTGCAGCCCATGCTACACTAAGGACCCCAGAGACTAAGCAGGTACGCAGAACTCCAGAGGACACACATGTACTTGGAACCCCAGAGGCAATGTTGGCACTCCAAACTCCAGATGTCACATAGATCACAAAGACCCCAGTGGAGACAACCTATTGGGCCCAAAGATTCACTCATCATGAGAACCCCAGGCCACTCAGGCTAGAAGACCAGAGAGGAAACAGCAACCAAGGGAAAAATCCATCAGAAGTTAGCACCTAAGTCTACAATAACTCTAAATCCAGATAACTAGAGGTTAGCATAAGAACACAATCAACAACAACTAGGGTAATATGGCACTGCTGGAGCCCAGCTATCCTACTACAGTAAGCCTTGGATATTTCGACACAGCTGAAGCACAAGAAAATGAACTTAAATACAGTTTTATGAAGATAATAGAGGCCTTTAAAGAGGAAATCCAGGAAAATACAAACAAATAGATGAAGGAAATGACTGAAACTGTTTAAGACTTGAAAATGGAAATAGAAGCAATAAAGAAAACACAAACTGAGGAAATCCTGGAGATGAAAACTCTAGGTAAGTGAACAGGAAGTACAGATCACCAACAGAGAATAGGAGATGAAAGAGAGAATCTCAGGCATAGAAGATATTTTTCTTAACCTAAAGAAAGAGGTACATATAAGCATACAAGAAGCTTACAGACCACCAAAATGATTGGACTGGAGAAGAAAACTCCTTCTGCTACATAATAATCAAAACACTAAATGTGCAGAAGTAAGAAGAAATGTCAAAAACTGCAAGGGGAAAAGGCCAAGTAACATATAAAGCAGACCTATTAGAACTATACCTGAGTTCTCATTAGAAACTATAAAAACTAGAAAGGCCTGGACTCGAAGGGTCTTGCATACTCTAAGAGATCACAGATGCCAAACTACTGTACCCAGGAAAACTTTCAATCATCATAGATGGAGAAAACAAGATATTTCACAACAAAACCAAATTTAAATAATATCTATCTACAAATCACCCTACAAAAAAAGACTAGAAGGAAAATTCCAACCGAAGAAGGTTGACTGCATCCAAGAAAACACAGGAAATAAATAATTACATGCCAGCAAAACCAAAAGAAGGGAAACACACACACACACACACACACACACACACACACACACACACACACTACCACCACCATCACCACCATAAATATCAAAATAACAATCAAAAAATAACAAAATAACAATAACAATATTGGTCATAAATATCTCTCAACATCAATGGACTCAATTCCCTAATAAAAAGACACAACCTAGCAGAACGGATGTGAAAACAGGGTCCATCATTCTGCTGAATATAAGAACATATATTAACATCAAAAATAGATATTATCTCAGAGTAAAGAGCTGGAAAAAAGATTTTTCCAAGCAAATAAACCCAAGAAACAAGTTGGTGTAGTCATTGTAGCATATAACAAAATAGACTCCAAACCAAAATAAGTAAAATGAGATGAGGAAGAATACATCAAAGGAAAAATCCACCCAGATGACATCTCAATTCTAAACATTTGTGCCTCAAATACAAGGGTACCCATGTCCATCAAAGAGACATTACTAAAGCTTAAATTACACATCAAACCTCACACATTAATAATGGAAGACTTCAGCACCCCACTCTCACCAATGGACAGGCCATTCAACAGAAACTAAACAGAGAAATAATGGAACTAACAGATGTAATGACTCACATGGATTTAACAGACGCTACAGAATACTTTACTCGAACACAAAAGAGTATGCCTTCCTCTCAACACCTCATGGAACTTCCCCAACATTGACTATATACTCTGTCACAAAGCAAGTCTTGACAGATAAAAGGAAATTGAAATAGCCACCTCTATCTTATCAGACCACCTTGGATTAAAGCTGGACTTCAACAACAACAGAAACAGCAGAAAGTCTACAAACCCATAGAAACTGAACAACTATCTACTGAACGGCCACTGGGTAAAGGAGAAATAAAGAAAGAAATGAAAGACTTCTAGAATTCAATGAAAATGAAGGCACAGCATTCCCAAACTTATGGAACACAATGAAAGCAGTGCTAAGAGAAAAGTTCATAGCACTAAGTGCCTTCATAAAGAAATTAGAGAGATCTCATGCTAGCAATGTAGCAGCAAACAGGAAAGCTGTAGAACAGAAAGAACCAACTCGCTTAAGTGGAGTAGATATAATCAAATTCTGAACTGAAATCAATAAATTAGAAACAAAGAAAACAAGACAAAAGATTCAATGAAACAAAGAGCTGTTTCTTTGAGAAAATCAACAAGATAAGCAAACCCTTATCCAAATTAACTAAAAGGCAGAGAGAGAATATCCAAATTAACAAAATTAGAAATGAAAAAGGGGCCATAACAACAGACATGAAGGAAATTCAAAGAATCATTAGGTCACACTTCAAAAACCTGTACACCACAAAATTGGAAAATCTAAAATTAGCAACTTTTTCAATAGATACTACTTATCAAAGTTAAATCAAGACCAGCTAAACAATTTAAATAGACCTATAGCCCCCAAGGAAACAGAAGTAGTCATTAAAGCTCTCCTAACCAAAAAAAGCCCAAAGGCAGATAATTTTAGTGAAGAATTCTACCAGACTTTTAAAAGAGAGCTAGTACCAATACTCCTCAAATCATTTCACAAAATAGAAATGGAAGGAACATTTCCAAATTCATCTCTCATTTATCATTTATATAAGAGGGCTACTGATTCTTTTTTTTGTCAAATTTGTATCTGGCCACTTTACTGAACATTTTTTATCAGCTGTAAGAGTTCCCTAGTAGAATTTTTGGGGTTGCTTATGTATACTATCATATCATCTGTGGATGTATATATACTTTTTTTTTTTTGAGTGTGGAAATTTTTTTTAAAAAACTGCGTGTAATACAAATCCAGCCAAAACAATAGTGCAAAAAGTTACAAAGCAACAATCTCTTGGGCTAATGCGGTAGGCTATACAGAGACAGCCACGATGAAATGTGCAGATCAGGCACTGTGAATACCAAGGAATCAAGGAGACGGGTAAGACTTCCACCCACAGTTTGTTTTAGACTCCCCCCAAACTGTCCATACAACAAACAGACATCTAGATCAGCCCAGCAAGCTGTGGTGGAATTGTGCAGTCCAGAAGAGACTGTGGAGAAACAAGTCTCCTGAGGCCACGAAGATCCGCAACAGGCTGAAGGGAGCGCTTGGTGTATAGCCATGTTCTGTGGTGGAGGATGTGGGTCTCGGGAGGCTGCTCTGGTTACTGGAACCTTCTCAGCACACCCCATCCTACAAGTTTGCACTGAATGCTTCCTGACAGCTACAAATGAGGGTGCCTGCCCATGTTAATGCTGATTAAAAAACACAAGTACACAAATCTATCTCTTTCATTGCTGGTATGTGGAACCAGAACACCACCACGAAATATTTCCTTGGCCTAAGAGATCACTGAATTAACAAGGAGTTTTAACAGAAGAACAGGAGTGCTGAACTGAGAGGCTTGCGAAGGGAAACACGGGTACCGCCAATTCCGATGAGTTTCTGAAAATGCCAGAAAAATGACAGGCCGCTGAAGGCAGCTGTCTTGTTGTTCTCCATGATAACGGCACTAATGTCAAAAAAAATAATAAGAGCTTTTAATGATTGCAATGTATACAGTTTGGGCCATTTGGCAAAACCCTGCAGATGTGTATTAATGATGCTTTATTTAAAAACAAAAAAACAAAACAGTCCATGTTGGAAGTGATCAGGGTAAAGTTAAATGGTGGGTTTTTTATTTAGGCTGGACCCATGATTTAAGCTGTACCCATCCAGCTCAGACCAAAAAAAAAAAAAAAAAAAAAAAGATAGAGAGAAACCATCTGAATGTTAAAGAAATTGTTCAGTCTTGAAGAAGAAACCAGGCCAGAGAATGCCAATAATGATGACTGGCAAAATCAAAATCAAAACAAAAGGAACTTTATCGAGCCGCCGACAAAGAACTCTTGCACGGAGACTCCAAGTCTGGAGTTTCTGGGATGAAATTGTACAGGAATCTCAGTCCACAGTTTCCTCTTTCGCTGCGGAGACGGAGCTGTCACTGAATCTGACAGAGCCCTGCGCTCCTCGGTCCGCCGACCCTTTCTGTAATCCAGTCTTCAGGGAAGCCTGAGGCGTTGTTTCAACCTGCTCCTTTTTGATCTTCTTCTTTGGCACAACCTCGGTGGATTTCTCTGACTCAGACCGAGTCCTGATTGATCTTCTCTGCTGCTTCTTTTCTACTGGGCCTGCAGAACCAGATGTTGCCTACGGAGATGACGTGCTCTGAGTTGGCTTCTCATTTCTCTGACTTGGTGAAGAGATTATAAGCCTGTCTTGCCCCCTGACACTTATTTCTGTTTTGTTACCAATTCCCTTCGTTGAATAAACAAACTGATCAATAAACTTCCCATCTCCTGTTGCATTCTGAAGAGCAAACACTTGTTCAATTTTCACAACTGGAGACATATTACACTTCTGCAAATCTAGGCTCCCTTTGTGCATTGTGATGGAAGCTGGTAAGGACTTCCTCGCAGCTGCTGTTTTCCAGGCTATTTTAACAGGAGGTGGCTCTTCCTCTTCCAAGCTAGTGTGTCGCCTCTGGCTCTGTCTTCGAAGGTCAGTACTTGACTGTGAGGAGGCCACCTCCCCAGCACTGGTCTGCTCTGGCTGACTATTCAGCACAGACCTTGGTCTTCGGGGTTTCTTGACTTCCGTCTTAGAGGTAACATTCTTCTTTGCTTGGGATGAAGCCTCTTCTGGCTGCTTATCGATATAGATGAAAGTATACTGTTCCACTCTTTCCTCCCGGGTCATTTTCAATGCTTTCTCTGCATGAGCAATGCCAATATCCCACTGGGCGCGTTCTCTCTGCGGTCGGGGTTTCCGAATCTTTTGCTTTTCGGAATGATTGCTGGCTTGTTTAGCTGCCTCGGCTAGTAGCTCTTCATACTGTTCGTGACCTTTATACTCGCGTACCCGCTTCTCATGAACCCATGCCCTCTCTGGCTGGTTGCTAAAAAACTGGACATGATATTCCCGGGCACCTCTTGTGTTAATTTTGGTATGGACCTCAAGCTGGGGATCACTTGAAACCATACAAGGCCACCAAGGATAGGTTCCCACCTTGGACCAAACAAGATCACCAACCTGGAACTTAACGCCAGTGGACGTTTCTGTTGTTGGAACAGAAGACAGTATTGGCTGAACCGGGACGGCCTCTTTGAGCACTGGCTCTTCTCTTGGCTTTTCTGGTGCAGTGTCCACCCTCTCATTTGGTCTATTCTGTCCCTCTGGCTCTAACTTGGGGACCTTGTGTGACTTGCGCTCTTCAGATCTAGATGACTCGTGTTTGTTGCTTTTTTTCCTCTTTTCCTTTCTGCTTTCATGCTTTGACTTTGTGTGCTCACTTGCCTGTACTTCATTTAAAAGGTCTCCACAAAGGGAAGACTCAAACAATTCCCTGCCATTCTGGATAGTTTTGGTTATTTTTAGTTTAATCTCAGGTGAGCCTGTCTTCTTTGGAATCACAGTTTGTGGTACCGAAGGAGGAGGAGGAGGTGGCTGTGGAGGAGAAGGTTTTTCCAGAATTTCATGTGGTCTTGTGTTTGGAATTTCTGAATGGTAATAGTCAGTAGGGCTAAAGTTTCTAACTGCACCAAAACCGTTGGCTGACCCATTGGGATACTGATTATATGGCGGGTATTTGGTTTGAGTTTCATACAAGCTGATTGATGGTGGGTAGCCATTTGTGAGTGAAGGAAGGTCTTCTGTTGTAGGTGGATATTGAAAACCTTGTTGCAAAGTAGCTTCGAAGGGTGTTGGGCCACCATCTTCAACGATGTCACTGTTGTTATCAAAGGCATCCTCCTGGCGGATGTTGGCTGAGTCAATGAGTTGAGGTGGTTGCTGAATTGTGTTTCCCATGATCCCTTGCATGAAAGAGAAAGAGAAATCCATTGTTCTGCTCCAGCATCCTTAACTTTCCCTTTCTCTCATCGAGCCTTCAGTTTGTTCCATTCTAACCCCCCTGCCGTGTCAGTACGATCACAGGAGAGACACGGAGGCCCAAAGTGGGGCTGGGTTGCCGGCAGCTGCCAGGACCGCGGACGCAGGAGACGGAACCGAGCTAGGCCTCATGAAATCCTCGGACTAGATTTCCCCCGCGCCGAGCACCCCTGCCATGGCGGCCGGCACTGAGAAGGGCCACGGCCCGGCCGGCCGGGCTCGTTTGCGGGCAGATGGAAGGCTGCGGGCGACGGGGAACGAAGGGGAGGCGGCCGGACGGGGGTCGCCGCGTAGAAGCTGGTGCCGGAGAGGAGCCGGAGGCTGGTGGCCCCGAAGGGCAGCGGGGTCCCAGGGCTCTGGTCGAAAGCTGCACACCTCTCCCAGGCGCCCGGCACCCAGCCCCGGCCTCCGTCCTCATCTCCGCGCCGCCAGCTCCCGCCGCCGTCGCCGCCGCCGCCGCCGCCTCCGATGTATATATACATTTAATAATAAGACAATTAATAAAAGGAACCTCATGTAACTGAAAAGCTTTTGTAAGGGAAAGGACATTGTCAAAGGACAAAATGGCAGCCTACAGATATCCACCAGGGAAAAGATCTCCACTAATTTCATATTTGACAAAGGACTGATATCCAAAATATATAAAGAACTCAAAAAACTAGAAATCAATAAACTACATAATTCATTTAAAAATGGGGTACAGATTTAACAGAGAATTCTCAACAGAGGACTCTGAAATGACTGAGAAGCACTTAAAGATCTGTTATTCAACATCATCATCAGGAAAATGCAAATCAAAACAACACTGAGGTTCCATCTTACACCTATCAGATCAAAACCACAAGGCACATCTCATGCTGGTGAGGATGTGGAGCAAGGGAAACACTCCTCCACTGTTGATGGGTGTGCAAACTGTACAGCCACTATGGAAATCAATGACAGTTCCCTAGAAAGGTGGGGATGGATCTACCTCAGGACCCAGGGATACCACTCCTGAGCACATACCCAAAGGATGCTCTATCCTACTACTAGGACACTACTCAACTTTGTTCACAGAAGCTTTATTCAAAATAGCCAGAAAGTGGAAACAACCTAGATGTCCCTTAACTGACAACTGGATAAAGAAAATGTGGTATATTTACACAATGGAATGTTACTCAGCTGTTAAAAACAATGACATCATAAAACTTGCAGGCAAATGGATGAAAGTAGAAAAGATCATCCTGAGTGAGATAACCAGATCCAGAAACACAAACATGGTGTGTACTCACTTATAAGTGACTATCAGCTGTAAAGAATAATCCACAGATCCAGAGAAGCTAAGTAAGAAGGAGGCTCAAGAGGGGGAATCATGACTCTCACTGTGAAGGGGCTACAAAATAGACATTGCAGATGGACTGAGTGAGGTTCTGGGAGGTGGGAACAGGAGGGAATCAGGTGTGGGGAAGATGGAGGGAGAGAATATTGGGAGAGACAATTGGAATTGGGAGGCATCTCTGGGATGAGCTAGAAATCCAGTACCATGGAAACTTCCAGGAATCTATGAAGGCAACAGTAGCTAAGACTTGTAGCAATGGGAAACACAGAATTTGAATAGACCATGTCCTGTAACCAGGCAAGATTTCCAGTGGAAGAATTGGGCCACCAACCCATCCATCAAACCTTTGACATACAATTTGTGGTGCCTACAAGATGTGCTGGGGTAAAGGTGGCACAGAAATTATGGGCATAACCAACTAATAAATGGTCCAGCTTGAGACCCATGCCATGAAAGGGAGCCCAGTCCTGACACTTCCTGCAGGGCCAAGAATCAGAGACTGGATAGTCCAGAGACATAGACTAGAGTAACAACAACAACAACAACAACAAACAGACAGACAAACAACAACAACAACAAAGTAGGCAAAAAATAGAAGTCAATGAAATGATTCGTAATGATATTCTGCTATACTCATATATTGATGTCTAGCCTAATTGTCATCAGAGAAGCTTCATCCAGCAACTGATGGAAACAGATGCAGACACCAACAGTCAAACATTAGTCAAAGCTTTGGGTATCCTGTGGAAGACAGGGAGGAAGGATTGTAGAAGCCAGAGGGGTAAAGAACGCCACAAGAATCCTCATATAATCAACTAACGTGAGCCCATAGAAACTCACAGAGACTGAAGCACCAACCAGGGAGTCTGCATGGGACTGACCTAGGCTCTCCATACAAGTTGTGGAGCTTGGTCTTCTTGTGGGACTCTTAGCAGTGGGAGCAAGGACTATTTTTGACTCTGTTGCCTGGTTTGGAACCCTTTTCTCCTTCTGGCTGACTTGTCTAGCCTTTAGAGGAAGGAGGTGCCTAGTTTTACTGCAAATTGCTATGTCATGGCTGGTTCATATCCAGAGGAGGCCTGCCCTTTTCTGAAGAGAAATGCAGGAGTGGATGGGGAATGGGTGGAGGGGAGGTGGCAGGGGGAAGAGCTGGGAAGAGAGGAGGGAGGGAAACTGCAGTCAGGATGTTTAAAAAAATAATTAATACAACTACATCTTCCTATACGAAATCTTCCTTAAATCTCATTCTTAGTTAAAATTCTTCTCTAGACATATAGAGTTGTGTGATTTCACAGGGCCAGCAATGAACAATACATTTATAATCAATCAAAATTAAACAAATATATAAAAAAAATTGATGACTAAAAATTACCCTTAAAAACCCAAATGATTTTCTGTCTGCTTTTTTTTTTTTAGTATTCTACCAGCCTCAGGGATACTGTGGTAAGATATGTGGCTTTTCAAAACTATGCTCATAGACACAGGAGCTGGGGTAAAGATGTATTGGTTGGGGCTGGGTTGTATTTATGTAGATGTGTACATATACACGCATATATACATATGTACATACATACACACATACAAACATACATGCATACACGTGTAATAATAATAATCAGATACATGATTATACAATGGTGACTTCACTATAGCCTGATACCCCTATCACTTACAGGGCTGTCTTCCTTACTGATATTGGATGCTTCAAAGACAAGAACCAGGTATTCTATCCCCAATGATGTGAGATACATGTGGTATATGTGTGTGTGGGGTGCATGTGGTGCATATATGTATCTGTAGGGTGCATGTGGGGCATATATATATGTGTGTGTGTGTGTGTGTGTGGTGCATGTGGGGCATATATGTGTGTGTGTGTGTGGTGCATGTCTGTGTGTGGTGCATGTGGTGCATATATGTATCTGTAGGGTGCATGTGGTGCATATATGTGTGTGTGTGTGTGGTGCATGTGGTGCATATATGTGTGTGGTGCATGTGGTCTGTGCATGTGTGTGGAGGGTGTGTGTGTGCTTGGAAGCAAAAGGATGACTTTGGGTGTTTCTTTGATAATTATTCCTTATTCCTTTCACTGAACCTGAAGCTAGGCCAGCAAACTTTTGTGAGTCCTCCTGCCAGACTGGCCCCAGAGTCAGTGAAAGAGGCTTATCTTAATCATCTCCCCTCAGTTTTCTGGAATTTTTCCTTAAAGAGCTTCTTTCATTTGAATTATTGGAATTCTAGATTGAGAGCTGATTACAGAGGTACCATGTTCATTATCTTTTTGCCTCAGTCTTCAGAGTGCTGGGATTACAGGAACATGCTGCCATGTCCAGCTGATAAGGCTCCGGTGTTACAATCTAGACCTCAGTGCTTTCCTATGAGAGTGCCATCTTGCCTCTAGCTATGTGCTGTGCAGCAAATGGCAGTGGGAGTGGGTTAATGCCATCTCTGTGGTACCATGTGGGAGGAAATGACTGCCTGCACAACAAGCATGACAAGAGAAAGTCAGGGCTTTTCCTTGAGGCACAGAAAGGAAGCCACTATGCAGTCAGCCACATCCCCTCATGTGTGGAAACTGAGTGAGCTGCTCTGTGGAGCATCAACAGTCTTCCCTGCCCTGACCTTAGAGACTCTTGGAGGACAGAGAGAGTTCTAATGCAATAACTGAAATGTGTTGAACTTTTATCGAGAGCTGCTCAGACCCTGGGAGATTCCACTAATATAATTTTGCAATAGAAAAGCTTCCTAATCTCATTAGCGCTGTTTTATGTTCAGTAAATGGGTAAAAGCTAAGTTTGTGACTCGGTAATTTTGAATGCATAATTTCCAGCACTTATAGTGTGAAAAAAAAGGTGTTTTTTTCCACCTAATGTGTGCAAAGAGAAGGTGCAGAACTTCTGAAATGACCATTGATTAGACTCAAACGGGGACGTGCTAAGTGGGGACATAATGTAGCGTGTAGGGGATCTAAGGAGCAAGCAGTAGCCATCCTTTCTTCCAGCTCCCCTGATAGAACTGTCACATAACTTTCCAGTCAACAGCCACCATTATGTCTTTTACTTTGGCTCCATTCATTGAACATTAACTGAGTACCCACGACAGGTCAGGTACTGTTCTAGGCATGCAGTGGTGGACAAAAGCGAGCGAGTCCTAGCTCTCACGAGGTTCACATTTGAACTGGCAGGCACTAACAAATATGAGTAATGATAAGGTGATTGAAAGTGATGTGAAGAAGTTCTTCCATTGTTGAGAATAGTTCTCGCTGTCCTGGGTTTTTTGTTATTCCAAATGAATTTGAGAATTTCTCTTTCTAACTCTGTGAAGAATTGGGTTGGGATTTTAATGGGGATTGCATTGAATCTGTAGATTGCTTTAGGCAACATGGCCAGTTTTACTGTATTTATCCTGCCAATCCATGAACATGGAAGATCTTTCCATCTTCTGAGATCTTCAATTTCTTTCTTCAGAGACTTGAAGTTCTTGTCATACAGACCTTTCACTTGCTTGGTTAGATTCACACCAAGGTATTTTATATTATTTGCGACTATTGTGAAGGGTGTCATTTCCCTAATTTCTTTTTCAGCCTGTTTATCTTTCATGTAGAGGAATATTACTGATTTGTTTGAGTTGATTTTATAACCAGCCACTTTGCTAAAGTTGTTTAGCAGGGTTAGGAATTCTCTGGTGGAAGTTTTGGGGTCACTTAAGTATACTATCATATCATATGCAAATAGTGAAAAGAACTTCTGGAGGAAGCTGTACTACAGAGCAATAGTGATAAAAACTGCATG